TCCGACGGGTGGAACTTTGGACTTCCAGGCATCAGAGCTAGGGATTAACGGCGAGAGAGTGCGTTGCACGGACAAGCAAGGCAAAGCATTTTGTGCTAGGGTGGTGGTGGACAGCACAACCAAAATACCAGCAGGTCATGAGGCGCTCGTGCCTGGGCATGTGCTGCGAGGTGATCGTACGCCTATAAAGGGGATTGGAATTCTGGAGCCAGTCGACAGGAGTGAAGTTGCTAGTAAAGGTGCTATGGTGGCCTGTACCCTTGTTAAGGTCGAAGACGGCATTCTACTAATCCGGGTTTTAACCCAGGCAAGAGAACATGTGTCATTTTAGAGGGGACCGTGGCTGGAAAGGTGACCAACATGAGTAACGATGATGTGGGAGAAGTTATTCAACAACCTCGGTCGACAGAGCAGCGAGTGGAGGTCCCTGAACACATGTACAGGCAGAGCATTGAAGAGGTCCCTTCCGGGCATCATGACAGGATTGCAAAGCTGCTGAGCGATTACAGCGATGCTTTCTCCAAGAAAGAAGGTGAGATAGGGCGCACTAAATTGGTAAAGCACCGCATAAACACCGGTGACGCAAGACCCTTGAGGCAGAGACTGAGGCGATTTTCTCCGATGGAACAAGAAGAGATAGATCAACAGGTGCAGGATCTCCTGCGGGACGGCCGGATTGAGCCCTCGGACAGCCCCTGGGCAGCAAACGTAGTGCTCGTCAAGAAAAAGGATTGGTCTAAAAGGTTTTGTGTGGACTACCGTTGGCTCGCCTTCAACCTTTGAGCGGCTAATGGAACGCGTGCTGGCTGGTCTACATTGGGAGATAGCTCTGGTCTACTTGGACGATGTTATTGTATTTGCCCAGTCTGTTCATGAGGGAGTTCAGAGCCTGGAGCTAGTCCTGAAACGACTTCAGCAAGCGGGGCTGAAGTTGAAGCCGAAGATATGTAACCTCTTTAGGAGCAGTGTGCTATATCTGGAACATGTGGTGTCTGGCGGCGGGATAGCAACAGACCCCGAGAAGGTTCGCACCGTTCGGGAATGACCTACACCCAAGAATGTTACCGAGGTCCCGAGCGCTTTCTAGGGCTGGCAAGCTACTACCGACGGTTTGTTAGGGTGTTTGCAGATGTTGCCAGGCCTTTGCACCACCTGACTCAAAAGGGGCAAGAGTTTGTGTGGAATGAGGAGTGTGAGAGCGCATTTCGAGAGCTGAAGCAGAGATTACAGAGGCACCCATTTTGGCTTTTTCGGAGCCAAGTGCCGAGTACATATTGGGCACAGCAAAAGCGACACTGGCTTGGGGGCAGTTCTTTCTCAGATAATTGACGGGGAGCATTACTGGACCGAGCCCAGTCTAATGTGGCTTTTGCGAACCCAGGTTTCCCGGGTTCGCATTCAAGACCACCCTGCCTAGTTTATGGCCTTTCTAGTGGTAAACGACCCACGATATAATGGCTTCAATCAGTACATGGCCATGTGTGTCCACTTTTAGGTCTGATTTACGGCAGTGGGGTTTGTCTGCAGTAGGCACTGTATGTGTGGTTGCAGCGCGGCCTGGCTGCAGTTAGGAAAGTGTAG